GGTTGGGTTGGGTTGGGTTGGGTTGGGTTGGGTTGGGTTGGGTTGGTTGGGTTGGGGGATTGGGTTGGGTTGGGGGTTTGGGTTGGGTTGTTGGGTTGGGTTGGGTTTGGGTTGGGTTGGGTTGGGTTGGGTTGGGTGGGTTGGGGGTTGGGTTGGGTTGGGTTGGGTTGGGTTGGGTTGGGTTGGGTTGGTTGGGTTGGGTTGGGTTGGGTTGGGTTGGGTTGGGTTGGGTTGGGTTGAGTTGGGTTGGGTTGGTTTTGGGTTGGGTTGGGTTGGTTTGGGTTGGGTTGGGTTTGGGTTGGTTGGGTTGGGTTTGGGTTGGGTTGGTTGGGTGGGGGTTGGGTTGGGTTGGGTTGGGTTGGGTTGGTTGGGTTGGGTTGGTTGGGTTGGGTTGGGTTGGGTTGGGTTTACCTCTAACTTTTCGCTGTTGATTCCTGTCTCCAAACAAAGACGAAAGTTGGAGACAGGAATCAACAACGAAAAGTTAGAGGCAAACCTAACCTAACCTAACCTAAGCAACAGAAATAAAAGAATAAAAGAGAACTTAAAACACAAGACAACAGAAATAGAAAACAAAGACGAAAGTTGGAGACAGGAATCAACAACGAAAAGTTAGAGGCAAACCTAACCCAGGGTTAGGTTATCTAACTTTAGTTAGGTTAGGTTGGGTTGCTATCAAGGCTTATAGGCTATATCAACGTGTTATCGAGGGACTTAAGATAACAAGAAAAAAGACCACGTACTTAAGAAACTAAATCTGAGTACACTAAGAAAACACAGTAATGTAACTTTAAGCTTTAATTATAATCGGCTTCACATGTAGTTCTCAAAATAAATAAGGGAAGGAATCGGGGCATTCAGGCATGCCCGGCAGTGCCCTCGGCCGGATACTGAGCCTCTCCTTCGTACATCACGTCCGCCACGTATCCGGAATCCACGCTCACGGTGTACGAGACCTTCTGCAGGCGGCCGTCGGGAAGCTGCACCTGGTACGACCCCTGCGTGTCGGGGCCGTCGCGGGCCTCCTGGTGGCCGAAGTCGTTCTTGGTCGGGTCGTCCTGCACTTGGTAGTTGAAGCTGTACTTTCCAGGATTCTGAAAGAGAAATAAACGCATTGTGTGAAGATAATTAAAAAAAAAATCGATTAAATCAATAAATATATTATCTTTATCATCGTGTATTCCACTTAACCGCCATAACAAACTAGGGTAAATATGAGATGCTGTTTTACCTTTGGTTCAGTAGGAGCGGAATAGCCAGTGTCATGCTGAGCGTAGGCAACAGCCAACAGAACAGCTGCAATTAGTACCTGGAAAAAGATAAAAAGTAGAAACATAACTTTCCCTAAAAAACTCACTGAACTAGAAACTTAAACATTTAGACCCAAGTATCGTATATTGTGTAATGTCAGTAGACCATAGGACCTTGACTGCCATGTTTGTACTGGTGGACTGCAACTGATATTTCTTAAAAAAACAAAGCTATTTATACACACGCACACTTCGGTGACTCCTCCCACCGTGACGTCAATATATCGGAAAGCTTTTCATGTGTATGTGGTGCAAATGTAAATATGTATGAATGTACTGTTTGAATACATATAGACCAGCTTATCCCATGCTGATCTCGTTAAACTGGGGCTAAAATTATCACTTGAACATAATCATATCAATTGGATGCGCTTAAAACAAAATCAAAGTGATCATATGTAAATCTCTGCCAAATTGATGGGAAAATGAAGCATCATTTCTCGAATTACATGAATGGTTTTAAACTGATGCATTGTGATAATTGCCAATTGAAGCATGTTGACAAATGATTTTTGAGTGAGCACATGCATCGGTATTTTTTTTTATCGTGAATTTGTGGGAATTTAGGACTATTGAACTGGGTATATATGGAACTAAATGGATGGATATATATAATATATATACCATAAATTACTATATATATATATATATATATATATATATATATATATATATATATATATATATATATATATATATATATATAATATATATATATATATATATATATATATATATATATATATATATATATATATATATATATATATATATATATATATATATATATATATATATTATATATATATATATATATATATATATATATATATATATATATTATATATATATATATATATATCTATCTATCTATCTATCTATCTATCTATCTATCTATCTATCTATCTATATATATACTATATATATATATATATATATATATATATATATATATATATAGAGAGAGAGAGAGAGAGAGAGAGAGAGAGAGAGAGAGAGAGAAAGACAGTGCTAGTTATCCTGATCTATATGTAATAGTTACCATAGAATATATTTCTACACATATTACAATTTCTACATATTATCTTGAATAAAATCTTTATTATTTTCATTATATTATCATTGCTATTATTAAAATTACCATCACTATTGTCATCACTGTTATTATCATAATCATTATTATTGTTATTGCTATTATCTTATTATCACCATCTTTATCATTATTATTTCTATTACTATCATCATCATTTTCCTTATAAATTATTTTCCCCGTATCGCTCCTGGCTAAGATCCTGCACCTTGGCCTTTGTCGAAGATCATAGACCTTCACGTGCGCTCTATGCATGTCAAACCACATCATATACTGTATTTTGAGGTTTCATTATGGATCTCACTCATCCTCTCTTTCTCTTTCGGATTTGGAAGGCTTTCTAAGTCGACCTTTGGGAAAATTTCTGTATTATTCTATTCATTTATATTTTTTTTCGTTTTTTTTTTTTTTTTTTTTTTTTGTCAGTATCATCATCATATTCATGTTTGAGTTTCGTCTTAATTTCGTTTAGATTATGATGTATACTGTAATCAGTTGCTTACGAAATGATGATAACAAAAATCATGGGAGTGATAGGACTATGATAGTGATAATATGGATAGATAAATTATAATACTAATGAAAAAAGTATTACGGAGAATCTTGTTGACGGTTATGATATTTCTCTGTTTATTAATGATATGGGTTATTGTTTCTTTTTTTTTATATAATTATCTATATTGCTGCCTCTCCGCAGTATCGTCATCATCATTAACTATTCTGAATAAAAGTCATCATAACGACAGTGATAGCTATGATAATAATCATAATGTTTTGTGTTTATACATATACATACACACAAATGCGCGCGCACACACACACACAATATATATATATATATATATATATATATATATATATATATATATATATATATATATATACATAATTACGAAAATGATACATACAATATGTGACTGTGATTGTCAAGGAGAGAAATAGAGAGAGAGAAAGAAAAGCATATATTCAAAATGCATCTTACGTAAATGCATAAACATTTTTGGCTAAGGAACAGACAGCAGCCAAAATTATACAAACCCAAACCTCTTAAATCGATTAAAGTTTAACAGCCTCTCGCCATTCTTATTTTCAACTTAATTACACAACTTTACCCGTCGTTAATAACCTTTACATCATTTGCAATCCACAAATGGTTGTTTTTTTTCCCCTGCTTCTAATGAGAACAAATTCTCTTAAGTCCCATTTGGACTTATTTGCGTAATTCGTCAGTCTTGAGAGTGTCACAAAACGGGCTGTGGTGGAGGCAGGTAACTATATTTAAGGAGGCGCCGTCATTTTGAAAGCGCAGTTCGACCGGGACACCCAGACAGTTGTCAACCCGCACGCCTTGTTTAGAGATGAATATTCAGGTATATCCCTTATCGAAGTAATTTTTTTTTTTTAAGATATTTATTTTTTCCGTTTTAGTTATTTTTGTTATGATATTATTATTATTATTATTATTATTATTATCATTTAGATACTTAAAGAGAATCGTTGATTTGTATTTTTGGGGAAAAAAAGCAAGATGTGTGAAGCTGATTATTAACATTGTCCTTCAGGTTTTCGTCGTGGCCGTCCTTGTGGCCGCCGCTGTCGCCCTTCCAGAGTCAGCTTACTCAGCCCCTGCCGACCCGGAGGTAAGCCCGCTCACACACACACACACACATGTACATACACGCATACGCACACACCTCATTGGAGTGAAGTATGTCTGATATATGTCGCTATACCAGGCAAGGTAATAAAGCAAAATGTTCATACGACACTTTTCTTACTTTAGAATCCTGCAAAGTACAGCTTCAACTACCAAGTCCAGGACGACCCGACCAAGAACGACTTCGGCCACCAGGAGGCCCGCGACGGCCCCGACACGCAGGGGTCGTACCAGGTGCAGCTTCCCGACGGCCGCCTGCAGAAGGTCTCGTACACCGTGAGCGTGGATTCCGGATACGTGGCGGACGTGATGTACGAAGGAGAGGCTCAGTATCCGGCCGAGGGCACTGCCGGGCATGCCTGAATGCCCCGATTCCTTCCCTTATTTATTTTGAGAACTAGTGAAGCCGACTAGGACTGATTAAAGCTTTATTTTAAATAATTTTGTTTTTATATAGTGGCGTTCCTTCGCAATCCTATGCGATATGATTCAGTGTCTTTCATATAATTTTCAGTAACCACTATCAGAAATTTTGTTTTCATCTATCAGCTGTCTAAATGATATATTTATGTATCCATATGTAAATAAATTTCGTGAACAAAGCAGAAATAGATTTCCTTATCTTTTAAGTGCGTAAAAATGGCATATATATTGCCCTGCGAAATGATTTAGTGTCTTTAATATAATTTTCAGTAACCACTATCAAAAATTTTGTTTTTATCTATCAGCTGTATGAATGATCAGGTCGGGAATTCTCGTTCTCACGTTATCCTTTCAGGGTGGTTTTATTACTGGTATATAGGAAGAATGTCTAATGGCCCTAGTGATCAAGAACCAGATCTGCAAAATAGATTACCATATTGACTCTTTCATTATATATGAATATTGATTTCGGGCACAGTCTCCGTACTTTCTCTGGTAAATAAAAATTATCTTATGAGGA